TAAAACCAACAGGCTATTTCCCGTGAACTTAGAATCTTGAAATTTGGTACGAAGTAACGTCTTAGAGTACAGATAAAGGAGAAAAGAAGAAAACCGTAAATTTTTAGTTGCATCACATAATAAAAAATATCTTTGAAAATTCAAGTTTCTACGGAACCCTCGGTGCGCGAATTGGACTCGCACTTTGCCGGTTTTTTTACTATGTCCCGCTTTCGATGAAAGAATCCCGCTTTTTCAGTCAAAAAGAACCTAAATTCCGTCATGGCAAAAAATATCCGGCAACGCTGTAACGTACCCAGTGATGCCAGAGTCAAAGAGTAAAGTAAGTATACCAAAGGGCCAGAGTTGCTTATGTAGTTGAGTCGGAGCATATTTCATTTCATGCTAGTATGAGCGTACCTTATCTTCGCTTTTTGTTTTAATCTAAGCTGCAAACACTAACTAAGGCGGCTCGCAGTAATATGCGGGTGGACGGCGAAACGACACGGCAGCTCGTGTAGGTGCATATGTAGGCGCGAGGTTTAAACGAACGTCGTCATCATGGAATGGATAGATGAAAAAGTCTGTACTAGTAATACGCGTGAAGTGCTTGAACTGTCCACTGATCTCTTGAGACTTCATATCCAATATTAAATTATTAGAACGATTTCTATTTTTGAATATTTCGCTTTGAAAGAACCGACGTAGGCTTTTATAATTTTCGATGATATTGTAAATGAATATGAACGCAGCACTAGCCACCATTTGAGACATGTTGTCGACGTGATATTGTCACGAGCACTGCGGATCCCAGAGCTCGTAGCTGAATACGCGGTTACTGTGGACCAGCCGTATCCACTTGCAGGTTGATTCATACAGCATCAGATACAATACATACTTCTAGGTAGGTACCCTACTGTAGATGCGCGTTTGTAGCGATACAGACGCGATGCTAAAGCAGGGTACTCACCTAACCATGTAATACTTGTATCTGTTACTGTATCCTGCGAGTATGTAAGCAAGCCTGCCGAGATCCGCTAGCGTAGTAAGCTCGCAGTGGCCTGCCGAGTGGCGCGTGGATGGAGATACGACAGATGCAGGTTGATAAAGTATCAAATACGTTACATGCTATACGGCTAGATGAGTACCCGGCTTAATGCCGCAATTACATCAAAATTTGGTCGTTAACCCGTATTAGGGTGCGACGAAGCAATATTTACACTGGAATATGGGCTGAAAGACGATGTGGGGAAAACAAAACGAAATCTACCTGAATACGGGAGTACTCGACTCTATTCATTAGCTGGTTACCTGATTTCCATTGGCACCAATTTTTGGGCTAACGACCAAAGTGTAATCGCGCCATTATACACAATATTTATATATATAATTGTAACTGCTGTGTTTTGGAAAAAACGCCTCACATAAGATATTTGGGTACCCAAATCGACAGTTGTTTTTCCTGGAAACCACATGTTGATAGTCTAGCCACAAAAATAAGGAAGCTCCTGTTTGTTTTCAGAAAACTAAGAACTTCAGCGAACCTCAAAACTCTAAAGCTAGTTTATTATTCTTTAGTCCAGTCACTCATATCATACTGTAATTTAGCTTGGGGTGGAACTTGCAAAACCACATTAATAAAAGTAGAAAGAGCCCAAAGAACTGTATTAAAACAATATTTAAAAAGAAAATCATTTATCCTATAGTAGCTATTTATAAGGAATTTCAAGTTTTAACGGTTCGACAGCTATTTATTTTAGATGTCGTACTTCGAAAACATTCCAAAACCCCATATCACGAAGAAGAAAATAGATACAGGAGACGAGTTCATATTTGCAATACTGTACCACAACGAACTAGTCTAGCTCGGCGTAGTTACATAGCACTAAGCACTCAATTATATAACAAACTAAATAAAGTTTTGAAAATTTTCCAATTCATAGTATTCAAATGTAAGGCAGTTCAATAAAACCGATTATCACTGTCATTGCGCCACAACTGGCCATTATATGTGACAAATGTATTGATGAGGGAGTGTTTCCAGGTCTAATGAAATGTGATAAAGTTATCCCTCTCTTTAAGGCTGGTGACAAATCAGATTCCAGCAATTTTAGGCCTATATCTGTATTACCAGCGCTAAGTAAAGTATTTGAGAAAATAATTTATAACCAATTACTAGCACACTTTTCTATAAATAAGTTACTCCATTTAAAACAGTTTGGTTTCACTAGAGGCAATAGTACTACTGATGCTGGAACTGCACTTCTCAAACACATTTTTGATATATGGAGAGTAAGCACGATGCTATTGGCATTTTTTGCGATTTATCTAAGGCGTTTGACTGCGTTAGCCATGAAACATTCTGGCCAATTCTGGCGTGATTCTCTAAACTTAAAACTAAATTTAACATCAGTCTCTCTTTTTCATTCTGCATAGAGAATGACAAGGATATACTGCTGTCAAATTTAAGTTTAGGTTTAGAAAATCATGCTAGAATCGACACCATTGTTAAATAAAATGAAGCATTATGGTGTATCAAATATTTCACTAAGTCTGATACAGTCTTATCTTTCTGCTAGGATTCAGAAAGTAGTTATAAATGAAGCTGAGTCTACAGGAGCACCCATTTCTATGGGCGTGCCCCAGGGTTCAATATTGGGCCCATTGCTTTTCCTTATTTATATTAATGACCTTCCTCACTTTACAAGAGATTTGTGTGAGACAGTACTATTTGCTGATGACACCTCTTTAGTGTTTAAAGCTAGGAGAGGAAATGATTGTTATGACGAAGTAAATTGTGCTCTCTCTGAAGTCCTTACTGGTTTACGGTAAATAATTTAAAACTAAACTCTAGTAAAACAAAATGTGTTAAGTTTACTTTACCTAATGTGAGGCAGGTTAATACTAGTTTAAAAATAAATGCCTGCCTGTAGAGTTAGTGGATTCTTCAAAGTTTCTGGGTATTACTTTAGACTCGCATCTGCAATGGGATCCTCATATTGATGCCTTATCAAGTAGACTGAGCTCTGCGACTTTTGCTGTTAAAAAAATAAGACTTCTAACTGATGTGGAAGCGGCAAGATTGGTTTACTTTGGTTACTTTCATAGCGTTATGTCATATGGCCTTTTGTTGTGGGGCTCAGCTGCTAATATAGAAAGTATTTTCGTTCTGCAAAAGAGAGCTGTTCGCGCCATATATAATTTAAAGGCAAGAGAATCTCTTAGAGAAAAAATTAAAGAAATTAATATTTCAACACTGGCATCGCAATACATTTATGAAAATTTAGTATATGTAAGAAAAAACTATGACGCATTTGTAAAAAAAAAGTCAAACCCATAACTTTAACACGAGATTTAAGAATAAGCTTGCCGTTCCATGTTTCAGACTCCAAAAATCAAGAGGTTCATTTCTGGGATGTAGTATTGCATTGTTTAACAAAGTTCCCCAAGATCTGATTGAGCTTCCACTAACCAAATTTAAATCTCAGATTAAGAATACTCTTATGAATAAGGGCTATTATAAAGTTAATGATTATTTAAATGGTCGAAATGCATGGACATAGTGTTTCTTGTAATTTGTTATTTGATGGGTATGAGTCAGTTTTTGTAACAGTCATATGGTACCTATCTAATGCCGCTTCCTATATACTAAATATAAAATTTATTGTAACTATATATCTATATCCTAAATAATGTAATGGAAGGTGACTTCAGAGATACTTCTGAAGTCACCTTCCATTACTTTATTTTTCAACCTGACGACTCTGTATATATCAATACAGGGAGAAAAAAGCAGCCCTTGTTGAGTTTCTTGCCGGTTCTTCTCAGTACAAGGTCTCCCGCCGTAGTTTTGCGAACCGATGGCGTAGCTTCTTGACCTTCACAAGTGCTTGTAACAGCCTAGACTGAATAAATGACTTTTCATTTCATTTCAGTGATAACCAGTTGGTTATTGGGACTTAATTATGATGAGACGGAAAAATTGTTGATTGCAATGGCTAAGGAAATTAAACATAAAAATGAACTAGGTATGTTGTTTGTAAAGTTAGTTAATATAATAAGTATGATTAATTATAATATAAAAAGGGTAAGAATAATAAATAATGTATGAAATGATTTATTATTTATTTGTAAAAATGATTTTTTTAAAGCACGTAAATCGCACTTACTTTAGTATAAGTAATAATTTAGTAATGCAAATTCTTAGCAAAACAAAAAATCTAATCTATTGTTATTTTGGCGTTATGATTATTTAAAAGATTACATTCTGCTTGCATGACATTATTAAATGTACTATTTATTTATGGGAAGTCGCTGGTACCTGCCATACAGTTTATACTAGTGCAGATACCAACGCTCCAATTAAAATGTAATTGTTATGTTTTTATTTATTTTTAAGCATTTAACTGCTAGATGTTTAAATCTAAAGAAAAGTTTACTAGAAAAAAATCCACGCGGACCAGGCAGCGGACGGGACTCGAATTCGCACCCATTGCAATCCGGGCGAATGCACTGACCCTTATGCTACCACGGCCCTATTCTAGTACTAGTTCCACTTTTTCTAGTAAACTTTTCTTTAAACATCTAGCAGTTAAATGCTTAAAAATAAATAAAAACATAACTATAATTGCTATTTCTTCTTTCAAATGTTTTTTTTTTCTTTAGATGTAATTGTTGTTTAATTAAGTGAAAATAAAAATTTAAATATATATATATATGTAATGTACAACAACATGAAATGAATAAATTTTTATTATTATTATTTTGGTTATTTTTTTTTCTCAGCTTGAGGCTGGTTTTAAACAATCTGTACTGGCTGTGCCAATATTATTATTATATACACACAATAATTAAAATACCTTATGTGCTCAATAATAACAAAACTTTTTTTAATATATATAAGTATCAGGGTAATTCTTTACATCTAATAAAATGCTCCAAATCACATTTAATTTTACGCACTGATTAAATGTTTTAAGACAAATTAGGATATATTTTAGGCCAAGTTGCTCAATAATATTTCAAAGTGCATCTACTACTTCAAACACTACAGGTTCTTCAAATTCAGCATCTTCATCTTCAGGGTCTTCATCTTCTTCAGAATCTGGAGGACTTTCAATATCCATGTTGTCTAGCAACAGTCTATTGGCACAGCGTGTGTTTTGAGAAGGAGATACTAAAATTTCATACTTCTTGATGGCTACTTCTCTGTTTTCATATGGTATATAGCACACTTTGTGCGATGGTTGTACCTTTCCAGGTATAACATGGCCATCATACACTGCACGGCCTACATACAACTTTTCCCGATTTCGATCCTCCGAGTAGCCACCTTCCACTGCTCCAACTGGTATTCTGTCTTCATAGGTTGGTACCCAAGTGCAATCAAAGCCACATAGAACCTACAAAATCATAGGAAAGTTAACAAAAACTTTTAATATTAATATCAATTAAGACAAAATATCAACATAATTGATTTAAATAATTGACTACCTCAAAAGTCATCTTCTCATGTGAACTACCTCCCCATGATACAAAACCCAGTCCAAAAGAAGGAACAAATTTACCAGGTGTCAAAGACCCACTATGATGTGCTCTTATAATATATACAGTTTCCTTTTCATAGCCACCAATTAGAGAGCCGTCTGGTAAATTATAATCTGCATTCACCCATTGTACTTCACCACCAGTAACTGGTTTTAGTCTTGGTTTTTCAATTAGAGGTGGCACTGAAAATATAGTGTTTAGACATAAATTATATCATCTTACGACATCAACATAAGGCAGGAACAGTTGAATATATTAACTTACATTCAAAACGCCAGTGTATAGGAACTATACTATTACTGTTTCCTGCCCAAAATGTTATATAACTGATATCTGCTTTATATCTGAACGAAATTATTGGATTTCTATTGTTATATCTTCCCAACTGAATGACACCACTCCTCCAAGCAAGCCAAAACTTCCTATATTCTGTATTGCTGATTATATTAGGTGTACGAACTGTAGCTCCTTGACCACCTTCTTTCTTAATCCAGGACTGATGATTTTGTCCCAAAACAACCTGTTAAAATATTTTTTTGTTAAACAGCTTAGGGATCATGGGAAAAGCCATCAGCAAAAACCTGCAAATTACCTTAAAGTCACAGGTAGTTCCAAGTTTTTTCGTCAAACCAATGGCAGCATTTTCGTGGCCCTTCACTTCAAATATCAATCCATTACTGGATATTCTATAGAAAATGTTGCGGTGATTAGGCCATGTAGTTATTTCTACAAGCAAAGAGACATATTTGCAATTAAAAGAAAATTTGTAGTATTTAAGGAAGTACCGACATACATACCCATTAGATCTCCCATTTTGTAATTTTAATAAAACAAATATTTCATAAAGCACATGACACAAGCAAACTCAGTTTATTGTCTTTTGGATTAACCTACAAGATTAAATAATGATTTCTTTCAAAAAGCATGAGCAATATGAGAAATTGCAGAGGTAGTATTCTATGAAATATGAAATGAATAATATTTTGAAAAGATTTACTTTTTTTTGGTATTCTTTTATTGCAGGAAGGCAAATGATACTAAGTCTAAACAGCCGCGGGGTCTTCAAATTTTTTTAATACATTTTATTTCGAGTGTGATGTATTCTAATCAATCAATCAAAAAATATTTTTTCAGTCTAGGCTGTTAAAACCACACGTGAAAGTCGAGAAGCTATGCCATCGGTTCGCAAAACTACGGCGGGAGACCTTGTACTGAGAAGAACTGGCAAGAAACTCAGCATGGGCTGTTTTTTTTATCCCTGTATATACAGAGTCGTCAAGTTGAGAAACGACTTCATTATTGTTATGAAATGTACCATTACATTACAACGTGACAACGTCTTAAATTAGGTTGCGGCTGGGAGTCACTTATGAAAAAAAAAATGGTTGCCTGTAAAGTCGGTTTTACGGGCGAAGATTTTACGTGACAACGTCTTTTTCTCGGTAGAATATTTATTGATATGAATATAATTAAATTGCACAATAGGAACAAGGAATTGAATGAAAATAAGAATTGCACAAATTTTAACTATAGAAATATATTTTGTTTACTAAAACATTGTACATGTAAACTTAAACTTAACACGAGAGACTCATCGTAACGTTACCGAGCGTTACACTTTTTCATAAGTGACTCCCAGCCGCAACCTAATTTAAGACGTTGTCACGTCAAAAAGTGTAACGCTCGGTAACGTTACGATGAGTCTCTCGTGTTAAGTTTAAGTTTACATGTACAATGTTTTAGTAAACAAAATATATTTCTATAGTTAAAATTTGTGCAATTCTTATTTTCATTCAATTCCTTGTTCCTATTGTGCAATTTAATTATATTCATATCAATAAATATTCTACCGAGAAAAAGACGTTGTCACGTAAAATCTTCGCCCGTAAAACCGACTTTACAGGCAACCATTTTGACGTGACAACGTCTTAAATTAGGTTGCGGCTGGGAGTCACTTATGAAAAAGTGTAACGCTCGGTAACGTTACGATGAGTTTAAGTTTACATGTACAATGTTTTAGTAAACAAAATATATTTCTATAGTTAAAATTTGTGCGATTCTTATTTTCATTCAATTCCTTGTTCCTATTGTGCAATTTAATTATATTCATATCAATAAATATTCTACCGAGAAAAAGACGTTGTCACGTAAAATCTTCGCCCGTAAAACCGACTTTACAGGCAACCATTTTTTTTTTGATGTAAACATATTTTAATAGACTTTTCTGCACTACAGGCCTTATTTCAGCATAGGCCTTATTTGTATCAGGTACCTAATAGATATTATGTATGTTTACCAAATTCCTGGTCAGTTGTGGACCGATTTCCAAAATTCTTTTTTTATTCGAAAGAATGTACTTCCGAGGTGGTCCCATTGGAACCAAGTCAGGATCTGATGGTGGAATTCGGGGAAATTGGGGGAAACCTTCAAATTTCAAAGACACGCACGAAGTTTTTTATGCATGCATGGACCTGAAAAAATTATAACTCGATAACTAAAAAAATCGCAGAACATACATGGGGTATTTTCGTATAATGGGGGTATGGTGCGAGGTATCTAAAAAAAATTGTTGACGTCACTAATTGGACCAACCTGTATAATAGAATAGATAGTAGAAACGAGTAAAGTAAGTATATATACATAGTATAGATCTAAGAAAAAACTATGACGCATTTGCAAAAAAAGTCAAACTCATAACTTTAACACAAGATATGAGAACAATCTTGTCGTTCCATGTTTTCGACTTCAAAAATCAAGAGGTTCATTTTAGGGTTGTAGTATTGCACATATTCATTAAAAATTCCCAAGATCTGATTGAGCTTCCTCTGACCAAATTTAAATCTCAGATCAAGAATACCCTTAAGAGTAAGGGCTAATAATTATAAAGTTGATAGGCAATTAACTTAATAATTATCGTAATGCACTGACATACTGAAAATATGCTGACAAGAGTGCATATGTTACCAATTTTTGCCCTTCCAGTATCGATCTAAACGGCGCGCAGTGTGTTAAGTTTTTGCTACGGGACCAACGTTCGACGCATCACCACGGTCGTCGGTTCAAATCCCGCACTCGTATTTTTTATTATTATTTTTTCCTTTTTTTATATTTGTTTTAGACCCCAGCACCTGTTCTTATTTTTATTTGTCTCCCTTTTATTTACACTTTACAATTATAATTCAAATTTTTGGACTAAAGATGGTAAACTGTGGAGCTTGTGCTGTTGTTTGCTGTGCATGCCGAATAAAATATCATAAGGCCTGCCTCGCCATCCCGGAAAAGTCACGTGTCAGCAGTGTTGCCAACTCTACGTCTTTTTACGTAGATCTACGTATTTTAGGCCTTTTCTGCTAACCTACTAACTTCAGTCCCAAAATCTACGTATTTTCTTTTAATTTGTACAAATTTGCAAAATAACATAACTCAGTAGAATAGGGAAGCATATTTTCCGTTAACTATACAAATGTTTATTTCTTATAGTTTTTGGTATGAGGAACTGAAATACATCGATTTCACTTCATAAATTCAGAATGACGTCACAAAATTTATAAACAACTAAACGTCATTGTTGTGTTACTATGGTTTCTTTCGTCGGACTAAAATATATCTAAAGACTCTTATATCTTGTAGAAGAGTTTCCGTTTATTGGTTTTGTTGTCTAAATTAATGCTGGACGCCGAATTTGTAAAAGCAGAAACGACAAAGCTCTCTTACTTAGTAGGTACATTAATAAACTTAAAAAAAAAATGAATCAGTACTTACACCGAAGTGATCTATGCAAAAAGAAATGACTTTCAGTCGATAAAGTTACAGGATGTAGCAAGTTTTAAAAATGTGTTCATGTGTAGATATGTTTATTTCTCTGGGCAATTTAAATTACAACTTTTCTGGAGTCTTTAACGTTGTGTTTCTACATTCTCGCATAATACAATCATGATAATTACTACAATACATTTTTTCGGTCTAATATAACAATTATTAACCATTTTAAAACATATTTTCAAAGGGTCAACTAGCCTATTTGACAACAGTGTATTCTTGTCATTCTTTATACAGAATGAAAAGGAGAGACTGATGTTAAATTTAGTGCTAAGTTTAGAGAATTATGTCAAATTGACACCTAGCAGCGTCTGTGTCTGATGGTAAATGTCTACCACAGCATGGTAAATGCTGCCAATGTAGAGTCTTCTCCAAGAATTCTATGTTCTATCTCCTTTTTTTAAATAAATTGTATAACAAAATACTCGTTTTAACGAACTAGCTTCTCTCAAAAAAAAAATACGTAGATCTACGAACTTTTCATATGCAATTTTTACTAATTCTACGTAATTTTGTCATCGGGCCTACGCCTTTTTCAAAATCCGAGTTGGCAACACTGCGTGTCAGCAAGGACTGGATATGCCCGAACTGCAAGAACAGTAGACGCAGGGGTGACAACACGCATACGCCTGTACCCTTAGTATGAGTTTTTTTAATGCGAAACGAACGATCGTCTTCGTCGATATCGATCAAACTATACGTTTTCGAATTGTGTCGCAGGATGTATAGAATTTCACTCCTCGTTATCACGATATCGTATGCTCGATGACTCGATTAACGAACTTCACACTGTTTAGTTTTGTCTCTTTCGTTCTTTATTGCCAAAAAAGAGATAGCTGAGCCACTCGTTCAATTTAACCTTTTTTTTAAAGATTCTCCCTTTTTCTGGAAGGCAAAGGGAACAATGCCCATACAGCCTAATCTTATGATAAATTTATCTTATTTTTTGAAGTTATACTTCTTTAGGCGCGTTATAAAAAAATTATGAGAGTGAAATTTTAAGATGCGCGCGCATCTTAACACAAAAAATTAACACCGTACGCATGCGCGGCCACTCGCGGTCCTAGCGCGGGAAACACGTACAACAAACATCGGGAAAAGTTACGAGTTTTGAATTTAGAACAGAGACTGTTTTCATATCTATATATATAAAAATGAAACCCGTTTTCCGTTGTCACGACATAACATGAAAACGGCTTGACCGATTTGGCTGTTTTTTTTTTGTAGTTTTCTAATACTCTGTCGAGGTTCTTACGGAAAAAAATATAAAGAAAATCCCAAGGGGATAAAATAAGGAATGAAAGTTTGTATGAAACTTTATCAATTTTAAACCGATCGGGCTGAGACTTTGCATGCAGGTATAAGAAGAATCATAGATGAATGTCATTGTGTATAATACAAGCCTGAGAACAAAAACTGTAGTCTACACTTCAGCTCTACACCGAAGCGAAGCGAGGGCGGGCCGCTAGTTTATAATATTTATCCACATGTTTCTAGTTTGTATATTCGGAATACGTGTTTGAGTTTCATACAAGTGCAAATCACATATGTTCTAATAAATTATATTCAGTAGCGATTTTAATTGAATATTTTGATTATTTATTTATTTTTTCAAATTAAAACTGAACTTTATTGACTGTGTCCTTTTCCAGACTTTTTATTAATTTATTGTAATTAATTATTTGCATGCAATTAAAAACTAATTTTAAACGATGCCAAAGAAGGATAACTTCTCACGCGCCTACATAAGTACACGCACCCATTTTTTTTACATTGCCAAACTGCCAAACTGTGGAATTCCTTGCCTGAGCCCTTGTTCCCCGAGCACTACAATCTAGCGGTCTTCAAAGCAAGAGTGAACCGGTTTTTATTAGGTAAGCGCGCTCCATCGTAGACCATAATATTGCTTTCCATCAGGCGAATTATGGTCAAGCGCTTACCTATTACCGAATAAAAAAAAAATAAAAAAAACATTAGAATGTCGGTGTGACGCATTCTAATGTTTCTTGGAATGTTTGGCACGAAATGTATCGAGTTGGCTTTTTCAATAAGCTTCTGTGAGGTAGCCAACATACAATAAAATTCTCACGTCCACTTGACCGGAGTAGCGTATATTTTAAAGATTCCACTAATTCTTCAGTTGCGCAGACGGTTGTAACACAAAATCACATCAATTTTGTTTCACAATATCCAATATGAACAAATTAAGAATAATTGAAATAAGACGCCTACCGTACTCGATGAAATCGCACCAAAAACTCCCAATTCAACCATAAACAAAGCTAATTTGTAAAACTCTAGACTAATGGTAGCCATACACACTACGAGAAATCGTTACGATCAGACTGTACAGTTCGAACGGAACAGTTTATCGTACGTGGCGTACGTATAGGAAACTGTGCAGTTTTATAACATACACGCTACGATTTATCGGTACCGTTCGGACTCTACAGTCTAATCGTAACGATTTCTCGTTGTGTGTATGGCTACCATTAATCTTATTGATCTGTGTCCAAAGAGTCCAAAGAGTAGAGAGAGAACCTACGTTTATCTGTGCGTGAAACTTGGCTGTTTGGTTGACTTCAAGGTCGTAAAGAAATAAATTTAAAAAACGAGCGAGCCTTACAGTAGTCGCGTATGATGTGTAACATTTGAAACCTCACCTAATATTAGTAAAAAAATAAATAAAACCTACTACAAAAGGAATAAGCCATTTGAACATTATGTTCTAAAATCAAATCAAATAGTGCGCGCTTTCGCGACTTCCTGTTACACACTTCCGTCCCATTTCACGAAATCACTCCCACAAAATGGAAAAAAGAGAGGAAAGATTTAACACATCAAAAATATATATACATTGCACAAAATGCCTGTCGGTGATAAAAGAAGTTAATTGCCTCCGCTGTAATAATTCCCGTCGTTCCTGTGCACGCTGGTCTTCGTCAATGTCTTCAGCGAGTATGAAAGCTAAATATTGTGCCGAAAACATTATTAGATTGCATAAAAACTTGGCCCGAAACACTTAGTCACTGAAAGTTTCTAATCGAGTGACGATACGATCAAACGTCGTAGTATACTCATGACGCGCTGTCAAAGTTGTAACTTGTACTGCCAAAATGCATTGCAAACGACTACGACAGTTTTACGATGACTCGATGAAACTCATACTGCTGATTTTTGTTTTTAATAGTTAACGCTAGAGGCGCTGCTAGTCAATGTATGGAAATGAGACGATACGATTCAAGGGCGTACCCATAGAGTACATTATATAGGCGTAGGGTGCGGCCAGAGTGCACTCAGATTCAGATTCAGACTCTGAAAACAAGCGCGAGAAATAAACAGTGTAGTCTAAGCAGGTTGCCTGCTTTTTCTCGCGCTTTGTTTTCTGAGTCTGAATCTGAATCAGGAGTGCAATCTGGCCGTACCCTTCGACTACACTGTTCATTTCTCGCGCTTGTTTTCGGAATCTGAATCTGAATCTGAGTGCACTCTGGCCGCACCCGTACCCAGGATTTCAGCTAGGAGGGGGCAGCTCATACATGTTTCGAGAAGATGGTCGGTCGGGTATATTGAAACAAAAATCATGAAAATTGACTTTTATTAATTAGTTTGATTATGACACAAAACAAAATATTAAATATATATAATAATCATAATACACATAATTAATTTAAAAGTAATCTTCTCGGATTTGCCGCCGAAAATTTGTTTATATAATAAACTCACTGTTTTCTTTTAAATAATTGCGATGTACGCTCATCAGACATAAACCCGTAAGCCTTTCTTCACCCATGGTGCTTCTAAGCTACGTTTTAACTCTTCGAAGCGTACTGAAGGACCGTTCTACGGTCGCCGTGGTGCATGGGATAGTGCTTAAAATAATCAATGCCTTTCTGACAGCAGGGTAAAAAATATTGGCTTCGTTGAACAGATCAAATACTTCTATATCCCTTAATTGATCATCTGATAAAGCTTCTTCATTCGTAAATTATGCCAAAGGTTCAGTTCTCCAGTGATATCCGCATGCACTGTACTGTCGTCTACGTGGTTTACGCATAGAGCAACACAGCTGACGGTGTGGCCGCATCGGCCGTGTTGTTCCATGCTGGATTATATTGCTCAAGTTGCTTTACATGCTTTACATATTACTTTCTTATCTTTAGTTGATGTAAAGCGTAATAGGAAGGTACTATGGTAGAGGCTTAGGTACTTATCGTAGAAAGTGAAAGGAGAAAATGAATTGGTTCTGTAAGAAATAGGTAGGGTAGTAGGTGTGGTGTATTTATTTATACCTAGATCGGTAATTCCAACACAGTTTATTTATAATAAAATATTTTAATTTAATTAAAATAACATGTATAATTCTTACAGAAAGTTCTTATACAATCTATTATGCAGTGCATTAAATAACATAAGTAACAAAAAACATAGAATCGCAGCGTGATTATCTTTTTGTTTCTACAACAACATTATTTGGACTTAGATAGCCTGTCAGATCTATAATGTTATGAAGTGATTACTGTAGGCTGAAATGACTTAGGAGACGAGAACTTCGTAGTCGGGGAAGCCTAATTCCTGTCCACCGAAGGAGATGTAGCAAACACCATGGGATTGCTGGACCTTGCCTGTGGTAAGGCTGCCTTCGTGGCGCACCCGGCCTACGAACAGGGTTTCTCCATCTTCCGACGCACCTCCTGGGAATGCTCCCGGAGGAATGGCCGATCCATTTGTTGGTACCCAGTTGTTGGGACCTCCAACCAGTACCTGTCCAATTAACAAATATTATGTATTATTCTTTCGATGGATTCTCGTAAGACTGCCGAATGGAGACAAAGAACTGACAGGAGGATAGTCGAAAGATAACCTATGCGATGGACTGCTGGCATTACCAAAATAGTGACCAAGACGATGCACGTAGCGAGACATCGGGTCGCGTGGAGAGACCACGAAGCGGCCTAAACCCGACAAGGAAGGAGGAAAGGGTTTTTTGAGGAGGTCTTTGGCACATTAATTAGGGCTCTGTCCGCCGGTCTGTGACTTGGTCTGTGATTGTGGAAGTTCAACGACCGTTAGTTATCGTTATTGTCTGGTCTTAAGAAGTAAATTTACTATCCCGTGATCTACTAACGCGAAATGATCTAGCAATTTTTTTTTCGTTGTTATTGTTTCATGTATATCGCACACAGAAATACTTTCAAAATGTAATCGTGTAGATTCTGTGTAGTCAAACTGCAGTTGCTATAAATCAGAAACTGATTGAAACATTAGTCAAAGTTATACAGTACAAAAACCTTTACAAATATATTTTTCTGGACCAAAAAAAATCGGTGACGTTTTTAAAGTGAATTGCTTAATTAGGGATGGACGCAAAACGCTTTAATTTTTTATGCATTCAACTTATGTGTTTATGCAGTTTTGTTTCAAATAAAGCTCTTATCTAACTTAACTACTACTTCAAAGGGGATCATTAGACAATGTAACAACCATATTGAGGATACCTAAAGTACCTGATATTGAGGTTTGCTATGCTCCATGCCGCCCCACGGGACGAACGCGCAGCCGTGCGACTGGACTAGCTTTCCAGGGATAGTGGCGCCCTCGTGTTGTGCTCTCGCAACGAATATAGGCTCGCCGTTGCAGTCTTGTCCACCGGGCACAGCGCCGGGAGGCAGCTGGCCATTAGCAGCGTCTACCCATTGGCCGGCTCCACCGACGGGACCGCCGGGGTATCCGGGCGGGCTGCTGTACAGGGGAGCTGCGACGGGCGCCGACGGTGGCGCTGCATGTTGAACAAGGCCGTATTAAAATCCTCCCATTACAATTTGTGAATAAGCGATTGTTTGATAATGATAACAATGTTGTCATTGAGTTAGATATAGTATCTATAGATACAGCTATTATTAATATGTATACTGAGTTATTTGTGAAAACACAATACCTTGTGCGCTTCGCGGTGCTTGCGTGCACAGTCGGGTACAAAGAATATTGATTGAATTTATTACATCATATAATAATAGTAATAATAGTAATTGACATCTCTGTGTGCAGCCGTTATAAAGTAAAAATACGCACGGTGTAATGACAACGGTGAACAATTAAAGTGATGGTCGGTAGAATGACAGATACCAGAAAATACGGGTACAGTAGGAGAAAATATAGGCAAGTACGTATTTAAAAAGACAAGAGACAAAAATAATAGTAAAAAAAGCAAATGCTGCTTCATCAGTATGCATTCATTATACTGAAAATAAGAAATATAAAAGTTTGAAGTTACCAAAATGTTATGTCTCTGCCTACCCTACTCGGGGCATAACACGAAAATAGACTAGACTGTACTTGTTTTCATGCCTAGTAGTTAGGATCATAAAATAACGTAGATATCATGCATGTCATGTCCTTTAACTATAAAAGAAGATGCAAACCGCACTACAAGCATGCATAATAATGTAGGAAGTCCTCACTTCGCACGACTAGATAACGCCGGCGTACTTTTTAAATGCGGCAATAAATAACTACACCAAAGTCGGCGTACCCGAGCCTTCACAGAGACAGTCACACTGACGACAGTTGTGTTGTGTGTGTGTGAGGTGTACGTTCTGAATGTTTTTTAAAATTTGTCCATAATCGAAAGAAAAATACCAGTTTACACAGTGAAATAATATTACAATAAATAAGAAGGACACTGGGATCAAATACCATCAATAAGTATCGTAAAATTTCGAAATTTCAACATGAAATCAATGAACCCTAAAACGTTATTCAGGTGTTGCCACGTATACAAGAATCGAATCGAATCCCTATGGTTGAGATTTTTATGATGTGAATTTATTGTGTATTTTGACGTGACAACGTCTTAAATTAGGTTGCGGCTGGGAGTCACTTATGAAAAAGTGTAACGCTCGGTAACGTTACGATGAGTCTCTCGTGTTAAGTTTAAGTTTACATGTACAATGTTTTAGTAAACAAAATATATTTCTATAGTTAAAATTTGTGCAATTCTTATTTTCATTCAATTCCTTGTTCCTATTGTGCAATTTAATTATATTCATATCAATAAATATTCTACCGAGAAAAAGACGTTGTCACGTAAAATCTTCGCCCGTAAAACCGACTTTACAGGCAACCATTTTTATTATTTAATTCATGTCATTTAAACTCACTATTAAACTTGCTATGAAACTAAACCAGGTTTAATATTATTCGATATTTATCTCCGTGTAAACTACCATATATTCTCTGATTATTTTTAATAATATTTTTTCAACACAGTTGCTCGTAAATTTATTCTTATTACACAGTTTTTGGTTTCATAATTCAGTATATTATCATACTTGTGCTGTTAAAATATTAACGAACAAGTGCCTGAACGAACAGATACCTGTTTATGTTTTTTAAATTTCAGCTGTCTAAGGACATTGAATATTTTAACGAATATTACATTATTTTGGGGTTAAGATGGTAAATAAACATTTAATTTCATATATACAAACAAATTTACTTGACTATCGTATTAAGAAATATTAATTTATAGTTTATTTTATATTGCTGCTACACAGCCGGTTTTTCCTGTGCCTTTATTGAACTTGCGCGCGCATCGAAAGTGCGGCGCTCGAAAAAAAAAACCTACGCGCCAATTTCCGTAAATATTTGCTAAAGCTGCTGCTGTGTGGTTAGTCTTTAACTATGGACATGGAGTATCAGAGTACCTCCTACTCTAAGAATTCCAAAAATCAGTCAATTCCCAGTGCCTCACGCCACTGATCTACTTCCTTCCATGGCAAAAAGAGTGTAGATGGAAATAGAGAACAAGAAAAAAGTATTGTCAGGGGTAGGCTTGCCAGATGGCCAGGTAACGGGATTATCCCGGATTCCAATAATGTGCTAGTTTCGTAACAAAATAACAAATGGCACCGCTGGCCTGCTTGATATTTTAATTCGGGGGGTGAAAATGTCCTGGAATTAATAAACCAGCATCTGGCAACCCTAGGCAGGGGCTTCTAAGAACCCACATGCATGTTTCCCAATACATGATACTTAGAAACCATGATATATTTTTTGAAGAAGTTGATTCAAATAAGTCACGGAACACATAATAATATGTATATCAATTATTACGTGTTCCGTGACTTATTTGAATTTTTTTTTATTATTGTTATTATAATTATAGAATACTATAATTTCACAAAAGGGGGAATTTACGAGGCTGATAAAAATGCTCAATATACTAATGTAGCAGACGCACAAGAAGATAAATTTACTACTACAGTTTATAAATTGGGAAAAAATATATCTTTCTTGCTGTTCGTTTTTTATAATATTATTTTCATGAAAGTCATGTCATGTCGCCTACGTACTGAAAGTGTAACTTAAGGTTCCTTATCTCGTTACGATAACGAAAGTTTAATAAAACAGTTATTTGATTTGTATTGTTTTTCTTTGATTTAGACATATTCATGAAAAGGAAGACATAAGTCACCTTATCTTAACAAAATCGTGTAAAAAAATAAACATTAAGTACAGGGGCCTCAGAGACACCACGTCCATAGTAGTGTAAATAAAAAATGAGGTCCATAGTTAAAGGTTAAATAATGTCAAAAATGTCTACTTCAAATAGTGAAAACGAGCAAAATATTAATTAAACCCTAGAAACGCGAGTGATAGTCTGTTGCCGCCAAAATCCATAGAAAAATACCTGGCGGCTTACGAAACTTTCATCCAGTGAAAAAACAGCAAAAGTATATTCTGTGAACGTATTTTTAGCCTAATTCAATTAACTGGCAAATAAATACAAGCCCAGCTCACATACACCATAGCGGTGTACATACTCCATGTTAAAAAACACAGTACTAACCAAAATTGAAGTTGATGTAAACATAATTATTGTAACTTGACGGCATTTCTAAAGTTATGACGAATATATTAGTCGAAAGGTCAAGTGTTGTCACCAACCGATGTAGAAAAGTTTTTGAAAAAACCTACGGATGGTCGGTACTTGGCAACAAAGGGCAGTTGCCCTTTATAGAAGTTTTAATTAATAATACAACTTTGTTTTTCCCTCTCAATTGTGTTGAAAAACGCGTATGCAACTTGTGTGAATTGATCATTATACACTCAGCTTCCTTACCGCAATAAGACAGGTCTTATTTGTGTGCTTAGTTGGTCACTACATACCCTGGTACCCGTAACTAACCCATAACTAAGCCCACTTGTATCAAAATATAAATATTACATGTTAATAAAAAATAAAATAAAATTGAGGCCGTATCATAAACATTTAGCATTTTACTAAAGAAGAAACCGTCCCCCAATCTGTTAAACTGTACACAACAATGTTTATGGATTAGCATTTTAATTAAATGTTATCCTTTAAGTATTTTCCAAGCTACACGTAACATAAATAAATAAATATTTCCAACACTCACACCAATTAGCCTAGCCCCAAAGTAAGCACTGTAAGGCTTGTGTTATGGGATACTAGGGTAAAGGATAGGTAGGTGATACGTACAGTCTAAGGATACATAGACTGTACGTATATAAGTATATGTATATAGAAATCCATGGCTGGAGTACAAATGCTCGTAATCATCACACAAACATCTGCCCTCACCGGGATTCGAACCCGGGACCTCTCGAGAAGGAGACACCTTGAAACCCGGCGTACCACTCGGCCACGGAGTTCGTCAATATTAATTATAACCACCGACATTTATAACCAATACAACACAGCATGCAATATTTTTTCTATTACTTGGGTAGCAGCTGAGCAGCAGGCTACACGATTCTTGACATACAATCCTTGCAAATTGACATAAACACATTACAATAATGAGTTGTTGTATTTATTCTTGTTTTTATACAGCGCGGTATCTAGTCGATCGAAGCGAGACTAATCATTTATCTACATTTAGATAACACTTTAAAATAACAGTTGGTACATCTACTTGACTATAATAATGATCACAATATAAGAAAGCCAGTAACCACATGACAAAACACTCAAAATGTACCCAACGTACCATAAATACTTGCACAGTGATAAAGCCACTGTTGTTCCGCCAGATCATCCTGTTTGACGTCATAGAGCTCACAATAAGTTAGTTCGTTTATTAATCAATAGGTGATGTAACCGATGTATTACAATAAATATTAGTAAAACTAACTAATTTGACACGATCTCACAGCAAAAAGATTAGCTATTAACATCCAAAGCGTATTCATTTCGAAGGATTAGATATAATGAAAACTCAACGGCTGCCAGGTGCGCTGAAGTGGGAGATGCGCCAGTGACCACGGGCGCCGTAGCCTGTGCGGACGCCGAAATGTGTCACGGGGAAAGGAGCTGGGTCAACCCATTCCATGAGAACTGCTCCAGAATTTCCGTCCCTCACGAGTAGTCTGCCGCATTTCCATTCGATCAGAAATTTCCTAAACTCGTTAGGATTCATTATTCCTGGCGTCGGTATTGTAACCTAGGAATTTTGGGATGGTTAAATAATCATTGATTGAATGAAAACAACAAATGCACGACATCTTCAAACATACCTTATCTGGTTTCTCTCTGCAATGCCTAATTACGGATTGGGTGTTTTCCCAGCCTCCCAGTATGATTTCATACATCGGATTAATTTCAGCGGGCGCGGGTGTCAGACAAATATGAGCATTATGGGGGCCACGGTAATCAAATTGCAGAGAGCCCGCAGCTACAGGTCCAAATTTATACTCTAACTTGTCCGGTGTGTTAAATTCAGCACCATCTGCATCGGTAAAACACGATAAAATTTTGATCTGGCGTTGGGTACATTTTGCTTATACTATGTTGCTGTTACATACCTTCGATTTTCCAAGAGCCGGAGGCACCCCAGCCTGTGCATACTCCCACGAAAGCTACAGGGAATGGTTCGGGATCCGTCCAGGATATGAACGGAATGACTTCTCCTTCGCGGCCGGCGGAAACGACGCCGCCATCCCAGCGTACCCAAAAACCACGGAATTCACCGCCGTTTAAAATACCAGGGGTGTCTGCTTCAACTTTATCGGGTTTGGTTCGGTTCCTTCTGATTACGCTCTTACTGTTACCCCAACCACCGATAAATACCTGAAAGAAAAAAAAATCTGATCACGATTGGAACAGATTGTCGTTGCGAAGACGTGAGATCATTCATTATTCATATTTTACAATAAAATCATGACCCTGATGACTCATTAAACGATGATTTGATGAGTAGTATGACCTATTTGATAAGAATAGGTTGGGACGTACTCGTAGTGCAATTTCAATAATATTTTTCTTTTATTTTATTACACATATGATGTATACCTATTATGAAAGTGTATTCTGAGCGAGCACGCCTTTACCTCATGATCAGTTTTATTTACCTCATACATAGGGTCGGATTCCTGAGGTGCCATAGTCAGGGCCAAGTGAGCATCATTGGCTGCACGGACTTTAAATTGTACCGAACCTGATGACACCGGGTAAAACTGGTACTGCAGGTTGTCCTGCGTTTGCACATCTGTAATGTTAAAAAAAAAGAATAAGTTGTTTGTGCTGCATTTATCAACCCTGCTACAATAATACATTCCTCAAAAATCTTTTATTATTCTGTGGGCGTCTTAATATTGAATCAAGGTCTCTCCTTAATACTTATATGTACCTAGTCTGATTTCCATTCGGCGCAGGTTTATGAGTTAACCGTTAGTCTAAATATAGGATAGTGCGTTGGTATGCGGGCAAGTAGAATTGCCTGTAAGCAGTTTGGCTAAGAGAAATGTGGCGGGATATAGTAATGAATGGTCTTTGCTATAGTTTTGGTACTATCTATTAGATCGTAATATGGGTTGGCTTGACTGAATCGATGATGTCATACTGAATGTTCCACCGATGTTGTGATTGCGTGACCTTTGCAGAACGAACGAACAACAAGATCAATAATTCGTTAATAGGAATAAAAGAATTTATTTCTACATTAGGTGTTATTATTATTAAATAGATTTCAGTTAAAACTACTCATATTAAAATCTATTTAAAATAAGTACCAAAATGAGTTTTCCTTCGTGGTTTCTAGCAGTTTCTAGCTCATGTTGTCCAATTAAATGAAACACGATTGGAATGAGTTATTAGCTACGTTTTGTTTTAAGGTGTTTTTTCACGTAAGTATTTATTTTCAGAGCGAATTCCGTTTACTTATTCATTTTAGTTTGATTTAAAATATAACTGTTTTAGTTTGTAGGTATGTAGGTACCTATAATATTGTTACTTAAACGGTCAAAATTATAATATAAATTGTATATTTTTCCTGTTATATTTTACTTATTTTAGCACACCCCGTCATTATGCCTGCCTACTTAGATTAAAAGAAAGCCTGCCTCTTTAACAGAATTCTTAACAGTAATGGTTTAAGTATAATCTACATCGAAGCGAAGCGAGGGCGAGTTGCTTATAAATAATATTGTGTTCACATATTTTTTCATGTTAAAATGGTCCTTTTATGTGATACCTAATGGAGTTTTGGCCAGTTGCTAATACACTACGAGTAATTGCAACATGTGGGTACTAGTCAGAAGAATGAGATCATTAATTCAATTAAAATCAATCTACAGTAAGTATTCTTAGCGAAGGTAACAGTCATCTTAATATGCGTAGATTGGTGGGTAGGTATGTATTTAAAAATATGTTAGTGAGAAAGATGATAGGCAATATTCAACATTGTTATTTTTCAAATTCGAGAATTAATTAAGTCCCTTTTGTTGCCCCTAATTGAAATCTATATCCGCACTCATTATTATTCTCTATATATTTGACTGATAGCACTATAATACTAGATTTAAACTCGGTTAACTGGCACATGGAAAAATCAAAATAGTGTTTATAACGTCCGCTGCCTGGTCCGCGTGGATTTTTTTCTAGTAAACTTTTCTTTAGATTTAGACATCTAGCAGTTAAATGCTTAAAAATAAATAAAATCATAATAGTGTTTATTTCAATATTTTATATTAGTAATGGTAAATTGCGCAAAAATTTGTGCAAATTTTGCGAACATTTTTACGGGTAGATTTAATCCAATAGGCCGAGTGATATTTTTTCTTCTAACCGTTTTCTTCGGATATAAGACTGGCTAAATTTGTTGACTTGTTAGTTATCTCTTATCTATTAGACAAGTCTGTCCGTCCGTCCGTCTGTCTGTGGAGCTGTTTCAGCGGCCAAACCGTAAGAGATAGATAAAGAGAATATTTAAGTTATAAGTTAAGAATGGTCTGATTAGACTACAAACCGGATTTGAGTAACGTAGCACTTCCGGTTTTCGAGAAATCACGAATTTCAAACGAAACCACACAAAATCTCCGAAGTTCTCAATTAATTAGATACATTTTTTTTAAATCAGGTTTTGGTGAACATTTGGTTCACTGGTTTGCTAGTTATAATTATAATAAGCCAACCACAAAAACTTCGGAGTCGCACACAAAGTGTTCCGTACGATCGACTTTTTCCCTTATGACAAAAGAAGATTTAAAAGATTACAATTCGTGATTACGATTCTCTCTGATTGATCTCCAGCACGTGTTTTGCCCTACACAATCAATAAAACATATCAACATACAACAAAATCGTCTACACAAAACTTTGTTTCACAACACATATTTTTTGTTTGCATCAACAAAGTTTTTGCTTTCCGAGCCCAATGGAAAACACGTACACAAAGCGGGTCGAGGGGCAGGGTATTGTTTCATCGGCCTTTTTACTGACGATTCGCTATTGGGGGCTCCGTTTCAAACCTACGCTCCGAGTGCAACTTTTCACTCTGAATGAATGAAACGTTATTCATTTTCTATTCAACAAAAGTTTCGTCATTTTGACATAAAATGTACGAAACTTTTGTCAAATTTGACATTGCACCTGGATCGTAGTTTTTGGGCGCAGCCCTGTGAATTTTGTGTACGACAGCCACGTGAGCCACGTGAGCCGTAGACGGCGCGTGTGTAGAGAAATATGTTTCGCTAACAATTTTTTTGTGGGTAGGTATAAACACAGGTATTTGTTGAATGTTTTTTAAAAACTGGAAATAATTCCAGTTAATTAGTACTACACTGTTCAACCAATTGGCATTGCATGATAAACAATGATGATTAGATAATGTGGAGAAAAAAATTAAATGATTGCATTTGTAAAAATGTCCTTGATGAAGAATATAGACACCGAGAGCCGATGATGTCATGTTTACGTTATTAAGGCAAGTATCACAAGAGCAGCTAAATAGAACCGGTAAGTTGGTATTTGTTTCGTTGTTAAGCAGTTTTGCAATGTTTTAATACATACTATACTATACTAGTAGTTTTACTTTCAGTTTGAAAATAGAAGCTTTTAACCAGCGACAGTTATTATTTATTGATTAAAAATAGGTTTCTATGCGGCAACACCACGCCTAGGTTTTGGCCGGTAGCCAAAAAAACGCCGGCTAGATATTTCGAAAGTGCGTCGTCCTTTCAAAAATGCTGCAGTAGGTAGTTTGAATATACCTATTAATTGAGCCTCAATTACACTGGTCAAAGATTGTTAATCTTAGATTTATACAACAACACCACGCCTAGGTTTTGGCCGGTTGCCAAAAAAACGCCGGCTAGATATTTCGAAAGTGCGTCGTCCTGTTAAAAATGCTGCAGTAGGTAGTTTGAATATACCTATTAATTGAGCCTCAATTACACTGGTCAAAGATTGTTAATCTTAGATTTATACAGGAAAGTAGCCAAATAACAACTTTTTATTAAGTATCTACATAAGTACAAGAATAATTACCGATATCGTATTTTGTTATTAATTTGTAATTCAAGAAGTTTCGAGATTAAAATGCGGAAAGTTTTGTATATTATAGTTAAGTATGGTAGGTACTCACCCATGACGTTGGACATTGTTGTGGAAAAGTTGTAATGAATTCGCTGGGCACTATTCACACTCAGATTTCGCGTATGTTCGTTCAGTCAGAATGCTGCCACAGAACTGGGGCCGGCTCGGCGTATAGGTACGTCCAGATCCCACGACCTCGGCGCTGCGCCGCTGCGTCGCGCCACCGCACAGCGTCGTCACCGTAACATTTGGGTGATGTCATACCCAAACATCCCACATTGACAGCTTACGCAACTGCTATACAGTTTATTTCTTATTTCGCTTCCAGGTAGTCTTATAGCCTTCCGTTCCTGAGTAGTTAGTTAGGCATTACAAACACCCAAACTGGCTGGATCGTTAACTTTTGCTAGACTGCCCTTAGGAATTTATATAAGGTTTAAAAATGTAGTGTTTTTGCTCCGTTTACCTGATAAACATCGGGACAAATAACGAGATAAATATGCAGATGTTTCAGTATGCTGAATCAGATAAGTGCACCCTAACTTTATTGTAAACAGATGACCTTGAGAATTTAAGTTGGTCAAGGTCAAGGTCTGTTTATTCGAAGGTTGTTGCCGACACAATACATGTCGATATAGGCACAGAATACTTATACCAGTAGGTTTGATGGGATCTCTTAAGGAATGTATGGAATCGATATTATTGTTACAAGGTTTAACCATAAGCGTAATTTAGTATGTTAGTAGTTAACTATGTTATGGAAGGCTTCATTGTTTATAAAATTTCCACACAGTTTTCGTGATACCTTTAACAGACCATCTACGATTATGAATCATAATGTTATTTGTGAGTTCAGTAGGTATTTAAAGTGGAAAACAACAACAGAATAATCAAAAACGGCTAATGCAGTGTAGTTAAATTGTTTATTTTCATTCATACATCTTTGTTCATGTAGGGTGTTCGCAGATGTTGTTCACAAAGATCACAGCATGAATTGAAAAGTTGCTTTTGTGCATTTAATAGCATCGATGAATCGATGACCTATATTTTTAGTTTTTGTACCTCTTACTAACTCATAGTGGCAAAATCTTTATTGAGATTCATTGAGACTTGGTACAGTCAAGGAATCGTCGCTGGATACAAGGTAACATTGATAGCTCCTTTATTATGTGGTGCTTATGAGCGATATTCCAAGTGTCACGGTAACATTTTCCATGGCCTTGACTCTGTGATGAATGACTCACACAATAATGACTATTACGAGCTGTGGTTACGAACATAGACTCACGATACGATTTATATGATCATGTTTATATGGTATTAAACTATATTAATCAACGGAATAAAATACTTATGCATTACCCAAATTAATGTCATTGTGATTTTCTTTAAGGAATAAGAGCTACTGACGTTCAGAATAATTTTCAATTTTTATCGATCCTTTAAAATAATTAAGGTATGAAGTTCTAAAAACACACTAATCGGACTCTTAATTACTAACTCTTACATTAACAACTTTTAAAAGCTCTTTTCCTTTGCTAATTTTCATTCCAATTGTGTAAGTATGTAATTCCAATATAGATAATTATAAATTGTGATCATTGTCCTGATTATGTAGTATAACAGGACTCTACAATAAAAATAATTTATTTACTTTAAAACTTAATTGAGTTTAGGAATTCATGCGTGAGTGTTAAAATTTGATTGTAAATACGGTATGAAAACTAACGACGTAAGTAAGTACTACATTGAATCACATTGAATAGTGCGACTGGATTTTTTGTCATTGTGAACGGTCAGGTTTCAATTACAAAGCAAGGTCTATGCGCCCATCTAGGAATACTATTAGATCATGCCACAATGTGTTAGGTTTTAACAAACACTGCTGGAACTAGTCTTGTTATAAATATTGTTCCAATGGAAACATACTTTTTTCCATCACGTCATTTGTCTGTTCATTTGTCGCTTCTATTCTTGGCAATCAGTCGTTATCTCAACATTTCCCTCCTTTGCCATAACATAATATGTATCTACCATACAGTCTATCGATCTTTATCTTCGGTCTTCCTCAACTTATAGTCCTGAACATATTCATCATCCTATTTGTCATATGCCTCTCATTTCTTCTCATTATTTTGTTTCCGTATCATGTCATTTTTTTTATCTCTGGTGCCACATTCAAACTTCCTTTAATGTTTATTAAAGATTAATTTTCTATTAGATTAAACTATCACCAAAGCTAAAGGATATATCTACGTTGTGTCCTAGGAATAAATTGAGAAGTTTTTGTCACTAAATAAAATCTTCGTATTCGAAGTAGTTTTGATTTTACCAAAAAATACAATAGGGATGAGGACAACTTTTTTTCTTTTCCTTTTCCTGAGGGCAGAGTTCTAGATTATCCTGTACCAAAAAGTAGTGCCAATAAATAAATAAATTATATTGATTTTATATGTCGCATGACGTCACGTCTTTCGTACAATTTTACTTAGAAGTGACTTCAGGAGCCCCCATTACCAAATTTTGTTGATTGATAAAAGAAAAAGTATATGTCCGTTATTTTTTGATAATGTAATTGACGGATTAAATAGAGTTTAATTTACTTTGCCCAATCATCACTCCTATTATCTTTATTATTTTATTATTGTACTAGCGGACCCGACAGACGTTGTCCTGTCTACACGTCTTTGTGAATCTAAACCATTCTCAGATCCCCTTGAACACACACAAAAAATTTCATCAAAATCGGTCCAGTCGTTTAAGAGAAGTTCAGTGACATACACACTCACAGAAGAATTATATATATAAAGATAGTGTCTGTAACAATATTTATAGTCAGACTATTTATGTATCAAGTTTGCATTACGATTCCTACACTAGAGTATTTTTAGCAAACAGCATTAGACCGATCATCTGTACCGCAGCAATGCAATTAATAAAAGCTTGCTCATAGTGTACCACAAAAGCTCTAATTTTTTGAGGACATTCGCTTGAGCCTGAAAACTACACAATAATATTTTATAATTTTAATATCGTATAGCATTAATTAGGTAATGTGTAAATGTAGGTTATCTGAAGCTTGTTTTACTTGTTGTGTTCAGTAAAGTTTCTCAGATTTGATTGAGCTTCCTCTGAATAAATTGAAACCTCAAGTCAAGAAGAGTATTAGGACTATTTATATTTATTATGAGTAGTCATGCTCTCTTAAAAATCTCTTCGGCGGTGTCGTGTGAGGCGGGTCGTTCCGTTCCCTAAAAAATGGTTGAGCGAAGCGATGGCTGGTTCATGCGTCATGCTCGTGAACGGGTGCTGCCAGCGGAGATGAGTCTGCTCTTGCTACATTGGGTACTATTAATCGCTGTATTTAACTTTAATTAACATAATTTGTTTTAATGCCTAAACAGTAGGACACGGCATTCCTAAACTTTTTTCATTTTTAAATCTGTTTTTTACATTTTTTATTTTATAGTCATAATTGTTTTATCATTTACATTTGTAATGGAAAGTGACTTCATGAGTTATCTCATATTGAAGTCATTTTTCAAATTGACGACTCTGTATATAATACAGGGAGAAAAAAACAGCCCTTGCTGAGTTTCTTGCCGGTTCTTCTCAGTACAAGGTCTCCCGCCGTAGATTTGCGAACCGATGGCGTAGCTTTTCGACATTCACAAGTGCTTGTAACAGCCTAGACTGAATAAACGATATTGATTTTTTTTTTAATTTTATTATAAATTTAGTGATTGCATTGATGATCAAAGGGCACAATAGTCTTTCTGCAATGTGTTTGTAATGTAATATTTATACAGTTTAAAATGAATTTTTTATTACATCGATCGCCACAATTTTGTTCGTCCAACTATCGCATTTCGCATTACAGTCGGCCGCGGAGTAGGGGTAGATCATAGAGAGAGATGCTCAGGAGTATGTGTCGCATGATCCCCCATTTCATCATCATCATTTCAGGGGATGATCGTTTCAGATGAAGCTTGTAAGGCCCTTCTGGCCTGGCATGATTAACGGGTGTTTTCAGTCAGTAAGGGTCAGACATAACCCTACAGCCGGCTGTAGGGTATCCATGAGGATTTCTCACCCGCTCCCCAACCTGGGAGGAAACAAAAAAAAAGTATGTGTTATACTTACGTCTGAGATGATGATGATGATGATGTAATGAAACCGAAATTTAAGGATTGGATTCAAGTTCGATTTCACTAAAATAGAATTTGTGTCATGGTTTTAAACATAATTGAATATGCATCAAAAAAAATTAACTACTTTGTTTGTTCTGTACGATCGAACACATAGAACCAATTCTAACATGTAGTCTTCGTCACTAATGACGTGGACTTTTACGATCATATCAATGATGTCAGCATTGATCATCATGGTTAATTATACTTACCTACGTATTTCTCAAGAACATTGGAATGATCGTGACTAAAGCAACGGTTAATTTGCGAGAGCAAAAAATTATTGATGATTATGCCTTCCGAATTTCCGTACCGACCTACTGTGTCAAGTATCACCGCCTGCCTTTTTAGGCCAGGGATGCCTTAGAAATGGTTAAAAAAAATCAGATCACGCTATAACCCGTTTCAAAGGAAAGGAAAGAGAACACTTAAGAATGAAAAATAATAAACGGGGGATTTGAGTTCGGGAAAGGGGGAGGGTTCACCTATTAAGCGGGGAAAACGGTTTATCGCTATTTTCTGGAAAACTGGGTACTGTATTTACAATATTTTTCAATAATCTTATAAATGTCTGCGAAAAATCAAAATACCGGGCCTTTTGTGGTTTTCATGATTCTCTCCCAAAAAGAACTTGTGGCGGCGACATCTACATGCGACATGCCATGCCCCACATATAACCAACGGATGGAGGATATAATCACTCGCCTCTTCAAGAGATTTAGAGAGATATTAGTTTGATCAGGGAACCAGTGATGGAAGAGCTCTTAGTATTGTACAATTAGGGACTGGTTGCTAGAGATCGGTAACAAAAGCATCAAGGGGTGACAGCGGAATGACAATTCAGTCGCGCAGATTAGTAGCCACTGTCGCCTTAGCACGACAAGGATGGAGAGGGTGGAAGGAAAGAGCTGTCATTTTCATTGAGAATGGGACTGGAAGGTTGTTGATGGAACCTTGGACTGTCTTCTAGTAAACATATCGAGTTTACGGTCATTAGATTCGCCATAACATATTCTATTCATTTCTCCTG